TAATTAACCGATACCTCAAAGCAAGTTAAAAATGGCATCACAAATTGCAAACTTTGAAATTTTGTAGTATGGGTCCAAACAGGTCCAGGTCAATTTTTTAGTATGGGAGTCAAACTTGTTCTAATTTGATTTTTTAATAACTAGTACAATACTTTTCTAAATATACGTATAGGAATCGGGAGACCGCATTAAAAGTAAGATTTCATTATTTGTCCATTTTTTTTTTAAATTTGGCATTGCCAAAATATGAATATTTTCGACATTGAAAACACTTCTGTAATTGGAAGTATATGACTACAACCAGGGGTAAAGGCTGTTCTGTAAATGGAAGTGCATACACACGTTGGCAAAAAAATCGAAGCACCATGAAGTAAGTGGTTGTTTTTGGTGAAATTGAACATCTATATAGCTCATATACAGATAATAAAATTATTAAAAAATCAAGGTCATAGAACCTGTTCACGGCTCACAATCACCCATTGAGTGTTCAAATTAGTATTTGGTCGAACCACCCCTGGCGACAATGCATGCTTGAATTCGTCGAGGCAAGGAGTGGTAGAGGTTCCTAATGTCATCCTGCGACACATTCTGCTAGGCATTCATCAGTTGTCGCTCCAGATCTGCGATATTTTGTGGTGCCCGAATCTGGCGGCCTACTATGTCCCAGACATGCTCGATTGGTGAAAGGTCTTGGGACCTTGCTGGCCAAGGAAGAGTATCAACCGCACGGAGACAGTCCAGAAATATGCGAGCGGTATGTGGCCTTGCATTGTCTTGTTGGAAAATGGCCCCAGGTAGACGTGCCATGAAGGGTAATGCAACCAGCCGCAAGATGGCCAACATATCGTTGAGCTGTTACAGATGTACGGAGGATGACTAAAGATGACCTGCTGTCATCAGAAATAGCGCATCACACCATCGCACCAGAGGTGAAACAAAGGCTGATTGGGACCTCTGGCCCCGTCCTCTCCAGACACGAACACGGTGGTCATCTACTTCAAGAGTGAAGCGGGATTCATCGCTGAACACTATACGATGCCAGTCTGATGGCAGGCATGATGATCGGCTGCGACACCACTCCAGACGACTCCGCCGATGTTGTGGGGTCAAAAGCAAACGTCTTACTTAACCTTTTAACTGTCATGCCCGAGATAATCTCGGGCACAGCACTGGTGTTCGAAAATGTCACGCCCGAGTATTACTCGGGGTAATTTTTTTGAGTGCATCGTGTTGTTATACCCGAATATATATCGGGAGACTTTTATTTCAGCTTCATCTCTTTGTCTAACCCGACTGTATCCCGGGGAAAGTTAATGTGCGCTCAATTCAATAGATGACAGCACTTAACTGAAGATTTCAAAGGTTAGAGGTTTAAGTGCTTTGGTTTAAAGTGCATGGGATCTTTTTGTTGTAAAATGGCATCTTCTTTTTTGAAATGTTATATAGATGATTAGATTCTTCAACCCAAGATGAAGGATGTGTATTTGATGAGCAGTATTTATGATACTTCCATGGTCAGCCTCAAAAATCAAAAAACAAATAAAAAATGAAGATATACTCAAGCCGAAGATTGTTTCTAATTGCAGTCTAAACTATGGGTGGTGTAGTCGCTGTGATTAGGGAATATCCTTTCATCCAAATCCCGTTAAACGTCAGAAAAAATATTATAAAAAGATATTTTTACATTTACTAGACAAGGTACTATGGAACTCATATTTGCTCTATAAAAATGATTGTTTTTAAAATTTCGATTCCAAGTTGTAGAAGAGCTTTTACATAAATATGGTGATGCAGCTTCTGGACAAAAGAATGTTGGCAGACCACCAACAATAGATAACCCTGCCCATCTTACTGAACAACATTTTATTTCCCGTATTCCTTCTACTCCTGTGGAACGTGGGCCTACAGGACAGTGCAAAGTGTGTTGTTCGAAAAAGGATAAAAATGGTGAAAAGATAAGGAAGGAAACCCGATTCTGGTGTAGTGATAGTGGAGTTGGTTTGTGCTTGGAAAAGTGTTTCCAGTTGTACCACACAGACTGATTACTGAACTACTAATAGGTATTCATTATATTTCTTTTTAGAAAATAAAATAATTTTTTTCATTTTTAGAAAATAATGCTCCACTAGAAGCGAACTTTACAACTGCCATGTTAAGTGGCAGCCGCCTCAAGCAATATGCAGGGGCTACAAAACTTTAAAAATTTAACCCACGTACTCAAAATATCAATTTTTAACTACTTAAGAATATTTTATTTTGTACTAAACATTTGATTTTTGCAATAAAAAAATGTGACAATTTGTGTACCCAAATTATCAAAATAACTTGACAGGGTTAAAGACCTCTGAACAAGCACCGTGAGATGGTGGACGGTACCGCGGGAGGTATAGACGTGGCTGTAGTGCGTTGAATAGTCGACAATGATACCTTTGGGGCGGTTCGGCTCTGGCGAACAATCATCCTACCTTGCCTCGCATTTGTTCTCCTTGGCCTTCCTGAGCCTTCATTCCGCCGGCAATTTCCTTGTAGCAAGCATTGCTGCCAACATCTTTGCACAGCAATGTCTGTACGCTGCAGGTGGCGGTCTATTGCTCGGTATGACCACCCAGCTTCACGCAACCCTACAATACGACCACGTTCGAAGTCGTTTAGTTGTCTGTAAGTTTTTTTCCTCTGTTACTGGTTTTATACTTTGAGTATTGCGCGATAGAAATGCTCGCTATGATTGCAATTCTTGTTCATTTGCCTTGAAACTTTGATTGCATGTTCGATCAAGATGTTTTTGCATGCCGAATTTCGTCACGATCGCAGAAGTCCTTCTTGATTTTTTTGCAAAAGAGTGTAATCAGCAGTATCAAACACACACACACACACACACATATATATATGTATACATACACGTTTGTTAAAGAGTGTAATCAGCAGTATCAAACATATATATATATATATATACTTCTGAGTGCAATGAAAAAGGGAGGCGCACAGATAGATGCTATAGCAATCCCACATATAAAATTTCAAAGTTTTACGGCTAATCATTTTTGTGCTATGCGAGGTACATACATACAAACGTACGTATATAGAGATGTCATGAAAAAAATCCCTTTTGAATCCATTTTACAATCTGTTTTTTAAAAAAATAGTCCTTCATTTTGTCTGTACGTATAGATGTCACGCAAAAAAGTCGTCAAAATTAATTCGTGAATCATCAAAATGGATATGCCAACATCAGCTTCAGCAACACCAGTTTGACCAACACTAAAGACGAATCAATCATTGAATAACTGATGGTACCAGGGGCGTAGGGAGGGGCTGTATGATGCCCCGGGCGCCGCTCGCAGAGGGGCGCCAAATGGTCTTCAAACAAGATTTCCATCATATCACTATGTTTTTTTCTGGGAGGGATCGCCAAAAAGGTATTTTGTCCCGGGCGCCAGTTATGCTCGCTACTCCACTGGATGGTACATGAAGATATACTAAAGTGTAGTCTGTATAAACAAAGCAAAACTGAAGTGTGATTTTCCCAAGTAAACTGTGTATAAAATCTTAACTGAAATAATTTCCACTTTACATCTTAAGTGGTGAATTTTGAATTTTTATTATGTGTGTTTCATTACTTCATATGCTATGCAATATTTCACAAAAGTTAAACTAAAACAATACACTTAAACCTTAATATATGAACATTTAAGCTGCGCGAAATTTTAAATTGTCTTTAATAGTATGTCCTTTATGTAAGTTCCATATGTGCTCTTTATCTGCGATAGATGCATATATCATACAGTAAAGGATTAAGGTTTAATCACTATTTAGGGGAATACCAAGTAACTGCGTAAAAATTAAACGCACTCACCACACACTTAGATCAAAATTGCTGATCTCTGCGTAATCAAATATAATTTTTACCTTAGACGGATTTTATGACTCAAGAAAAATAAAAATATAGTGCCAAGCAGACATGCTGAACGCTTTAACTCCCCAAACAGTGCCTATTATTACGTCTTTCATTCATTTTTTATTCATAAATTTATCTTTTTTAAATTATCTATTTTATTATTATTTATTCACTTATCATTTATTTTATTGCTAAGTAATTTTTACTCTTTATTTACTTTTAATAACTCAGTATTTATTTTTAAATTGCACTCAACTTCTGTGATGACATTCCAGTAGAACACCAGCACTCAACAAATTAAGTTTTAGTCTAAATGCAATCGGACAATTTTTAAATCAATTGTATGCATTAGTTGATAAGTACGAAAGGCGTATAACATGTTTTTTATTTAAAGTTTCGAGTTATAAATCCAGTACCTACTAAAATAACCACATAAACTAATCGTTTAGAAATTAGCTTAAAACTGCGGTGCTTAACCACCAGGGTGCTTGGGCGCCATAGCCCTACCCCTCATCGAATAACATGATAAAAGTTTCGAATTATGAGAAATATAACTGATGTGCTAAAATTAAATGAGCAAGAGTTTTAAATTCATAATTGCTAAATTAAATACATATTTTTTCCTTTAGGACCTAATAAATCCATACATAAAAACTATTTTTTTAACAACTATTTCACAGAAGAATAATGTACACAAGAGAAACAAAATACGAATGCGAACGCCTTAGTGCCACTAGTAAAAACAAAAGCAATCAGGAGGAAAAAAGAACCAATACAATAAGAATCTGAGCAACAATTTGCATAACACATATACAAAATTACACATTACTAACATTTAGGATCGCCCTTAGGCGTTTACTGAAAAAACGAATTGCACAGCAAAACCAAAAGTAGAATACGTTCTGTTCTTTCCGTTGCCAGATTTGAGGAACGATAATTTAGAAAAACGTTAAATATTACAGTAAAGTATATGAAACTATTCAAATCTTATTCCAGTTCTCGAACAGGGAAAAAAAATCTGATTTTTAATTTATAATAATATCCTAACAATTTGACTGCCCCTGTAATTTTATTAAATTTTCACATTCTCTTCCTATTGGTCGCAAGAAAGAAGTGGGCGACCGAAATATGAATTAATAGAGTGGCAGTAACCATAATTAAGAGAGGTTTTTAAATTGCAGTTGCATGTTATATTGTATATAAGCTTTACATGGATACTTTGTTTTGGTTATTTGTCGTATAAATACTTTCAATTAAGGTAAATCTAAACTCATTCTTATTATTTTTAAGAATATTTCTACTTTAGTATAATTTACCTACAAACACCCACCTGTTAACCGAAGTTAAAATTTCATTCTTTTATGATAACAGTATGCGATATATATATATATATTCGTTATTCATATTTGATAAGCTCAGATAATGTAGCTTACAATTGATTCTAATTTTATTACATTTGATGTTTTTTGTAATCCAATATATTATTATATTGTTTCGTTCATGGGAATGAATTATACTGCTAGTATAGAAGAAGGTAAATTAGAATGTTCATTTTGGTATTCCTTTTTAAAAATTTTGGAGAATGGCGTAAATTTCTGTATTTACTATACGAATGATATTGATTGATATATTCATTTGCGTTTCTTTTTAGAATGATGACTTCAAGTGTTATGTTAGCTTTGTTATTCATCTTTTATTACAATTATTTCTTCAGGTAATTCTTCATTTATTCTGTATGTTTTTTTAAATGTATCATTTTTAGTCAATTTTCCAAAAATGTTTGTTAAGGAATTTAAATATGATTAAAAATAATGCCGTATGATATATGTAATAACTTCCTATGTTACAGCTTATAATTCTTGATTTTTAAGAGTATTTAATACTTTGTTGAGTTTAATACATACATGAAAATATTTGTTATTTCTGAGAACTGATTTATGTTTAAATGATATATGTTATGAACTGATTTATGTATTTCTTATTGATGATATTGTAATTAGTACTTAATACAATGATTTTACACTGATTGTCTGGCTGTTGTAGTATTTTCATTTTACTTGCATTGAACTTTGTGGTTGATCTTTGGATTATGGTAACTTGGCGATTTTTTGGCGAAAATTTGGCGACCAACTCCACTACAGCAACTCTCTGTTTTTTTTTCGCCGCCATTTTGTCTTCATGAAGTAAAGACATGTTTCTTTTTTTACTCAAACTTTTTTCCAACAATTTACTAGCCGAATACCTTATGCTAAAATTTTATGGAACAAAACTGCTTAATCATGACAAAATAACTGCAAAATTGGGAAAAAAGTGCAGAATCACAAACTCCTTGCCGCGTTTTTCAAAATCGCACATACACAGTAACCATGTACACATCAACTTATTTTTACTTAAAAAAACATCCCAGAATTGCACAAAAATGGCATTGTGCACACTCTTGACTTTATCCATCTAAACTGCTATTTTCTCATAAATTACAAAAATTTCACGAAAATGCATGAAAATTTTGTGAATCTTTAAATTCTGTAAAAAGGACATATATGAAATTACCTGATCGCGAAAAAGTACATACCCTTTCCAAAGATGAACATTTGCACTTATAAAAAATAAATATCCAAAAACTTTTCCCTCTAAATTATCTATTTAACCTCACCTACCAATTTCTAACGCAAACATTAAATGGTTCCAAATACTTAAATTCTTTCCATGCACATTTACTTCTACTCAAACGTATTCCAAATACTGCAACATATAACTCTCAAATCACGATCATTAAATTAAAATATAATTAATTAAAAAAACACTACTAAAATATAAATAACACATACATTAAATTAATAAAAATTAGCTTACAATCCTAATTACTTTAAACTAAATCATGCTAATAACATTTTCCAATAACTAATATTATTTATTTACTCCTTACATTTAGAACCAATGCATAAAAAATAATATCCTCAAATAATTAAAATACTACTTCTACAGAATCTGAGTGCATGGCGGATCACAAAATGTCCATTTTCACCAGATTCTTTGCACGCCATTCAAACTTATCTGTAATATCCTTCCTTTCACACAATCTCATTCATACCCACATGTTGGACATTCATACTTATCCGCAATTAAGCAATTCTTTTCAATTACACCTAAAAACAATAAAAATTTCGGATTTACTTATATAGGGCCATGGATCCAAATATTAAACAACACTGTTTCACAGAACATAGAATGAAACTAATGCTGTACAGCAGATATTTTTACAAATTTATCTCCTTTTCCGATTAAAGAACAGTGATTCGTCCATTAATGTCACATGACATATCTCGTGATCTCTCATTTCCCTCACACAAAATAATGCGTAATCGGAACTGAGTACTTCTCACATTATTCCCTAAGTCCTAGGTAGTAACCTTTATCGCTTCTAAAATGTCGCCAAACTACCTGTTACCATATTCCAAAGATCAGCCAAATTTGTTTTTAAAAATTATTCCTTTTATCTCATTGCTTTCTGATTTTGAAATTTAGTTTTTCTTAGTTACAAAAAGTAAAATACAAGGTAATTTTTAGATAATTTCCAAATAGAAATATAGTAATTGTACTAAAACTTGATAGATATAAATAATTAAAACAGCATCAATTTTCATGCTTTTTTGGATGTTTTAAATACAGTTCGGTTTAATCCTAGTATCCGGTGCACATGGAATTTGGCTACTTTTGGCGACTTTATGATAAGTAGCAAAAATGGGACATATACATTGAGTAAACCGGTCATTCAAAGAATATATATAGTTATACATAGTATATACTATGTACACACATAGTATATAGTGTATAGTATATTGACGTCCTTTGGATCATTTTTGGTGTTGGTGATAATTTTCAAAATCACGCCAAGGCTGCACCGTATACTAGGATTTTACCTACAATTCCATTTAATTACCATCAAATTATCTGCCTTGCATTTGAAATAATCATTTCAAGTAAATGTTATTTTGCAGTTGTCAAAATAAAAGTAAAATTTATTCCCATTATTATTTATAAATGCATAAGAAAAATTTATTCCCATTATTATTTATAAATGCATAAGTAAAATTTATTCCTTTTATGAATAAAATTTATGACATTCATGAATAAAATTTATGACTGTTTTATCTTGAGAACAGTTTGTATGTTCTAAACCACATCCTAAAAGTGGCAATAAATAATCATATAAAAGTGGTTAGTACCTAATCATAACAACTTTGCCATTTAAGTCAAAAAACATCTATTATTGTCATTTTACTTGCATTGAAATTTGTTTTTAAAAATTAATCCTCTTATTGCTTTCTAATTCTGAAATTTGGTTTATCTTAGTTGCAAAAAGTAACAAAAGGCAGGGTAATTTTTAGCTAATTTCTAAATAGAAATATAGTAACTGCACTAACACTTGATAGATATAGATAATTGAAACAGTATCAGTTTTCATGCTTTTTGGATGTTTTAAATACAGTTCCATTTAATTACCATCAAATTATCTGCCTTGCATTTGAAATAATCATTTCAAGTAAATGTTATTTGCAGTTATCAAAATAAAAAGTAAAATTTATTCACATTATTATTTATAAATGCATAAGTAAAATTTATTCCCTTTATATGAATAAAATTTATGACTGTTTTATCTTAAGAGAACAATTTGTGTGCTCTAAATCACATCCTAAAAGTGACAATATATAATCATATAAAAGTGTTTAGTACTGTATCATAACAATTTTGCTATTTAAATCAAAAAACATGTAAGAGGTATTGTTCTGTAGTGCATTATGATATTCTATCTTTTAAACTGCAGAAGGGAAAAACAAATTCTCAATTTAATCATCTAAAGATTTATTGCATATGAGAATTAAAAAAAAAAAAAAATGTATCATTGCAAATTTGGATTATCTATATCTGTTTTTATTTATCATGTACTGTGCCCCAAGCATAATACATAATATATCATTACACATTTTTATTGCTTGTAAAATTTCATATATTTTCATCTTTTATTTATAAAAAAATCCTATTCTATTGGAATTTTTTTTTTTTTTTTTTTTTTTGCTTAGAGGGTTTTCTTGGCATTTTCTCCCATATATTATAAAATCCTTGTTCATTGTTTTCATTATAATTTATTATTGAGTCTTTTGTGCAGCCTTTTTTACTGATGATTGTCATAACAGAATTTTTTTTTAATCATGCAATGGGCATCAAAATTTTAAAAAAGTTTTCCATTTATTTAATTTTGCTGGAGTCTTCAAATATGCAGTAATCAAAAAGTTAATAGCATATTCTTTTGGCATACTTAATTTTAATTCTTCCAATAGAGTATAAAAAGTGCGATTCAGTACTCTTCCATTATCGATACCGGATCCAGAAACGTATGTAAGGATGTGTGTATTCATGTATGTATATGTACACATACATACACATATACAGACATATGCATATATGCACATATACACACATACAAGCATACAAGCACATATACGCACATACGTACATGCATGCCGTGTATTTCTGAATCCAATCCTGATACCAAAAGTGTACTGTTCGTTCTTCCTTCTCTAAAATGTGAATCAATGGAAGTTAATATTAACAATTCAAGTACTCGAGTACAAAATTAAGGAAGTTTGCTAATTATATATATTTTTACTAAAAGTATTGAACCCAAATTACTAATTATGCTAATATTCAGTGTCGAAGATGTAAACATACATGTACATGTCTGTGGAGCTATGATTATGGAGGGAATATAAAGCACATGATGGGTTTTCAGTGATTTGTGTGCTTGTGCTTCTTCACGGCATTTGCCATGTTTCTCGCTAGAGTTGGGTAAATTTTATAAGGTAGCAAATGAAATGAGTAGCCACAAGCGTATGGGTGATGGAATGAGATGGAGAACTGGAAGCAAGCCGATTACAAGTACAGGTGGCCACACATCTCAGTGTAATGCCCAATGTCATCTTTGTAATTTGTGGAAAGTTTTAGAGAACGGGATCCATATCGAAAACAAAGTAAAACAAAATCCACAGCAGTGACTGAGGATCATTATTTTTCGCTTTGTACACGGTGACACAGTACTGCTACAGCTCACTGGAGCTGCATGCTACCACTGGAACCCGAGTTTCATGATCTTCAGTTACTGGAAGGTTTCATGAGGTAGGGTTATATGCCAGAAGACCTACTGTTTGTGTCCTGCTCAATGCAGCACACAAGAGAGCATCTTTAACGTGGAGACAACATGCACCTTGGACCAGACTTCACTGGAGTGCCATGTTTTTTACAGATTAGTCCAGATTCAGCCTGGACACAGATTCTCAGCATACCTGTATCAGGAGAGAACCTGAACATAATATTATCCTTCCTTATTAGCGAAAAGGATCATTATGGGGGTGAAGGTGTAATGTGTAATGGGATTGGGCAGCCATTATTTGAATCGCTGCACCTCTGACAGAAGCATTCTGACTGCTATGTGGTATAAAAAGAGATTGTAGAGCCCTGTGCTGAAATTTTTTAGGGAACTTTTTATAGATACAATGCTTGGTCATATATATAGGGCTCAGTTGGGTCAACGATTACTTGGAATGAGGATATTCGCACATGGATTGGACAGCCAGATCTCATCTTTACCCTATACAGCTTGTTCGGACACTGTTGGGAGAGCCTTTCATCTTGCCACATCCCAGCTTTACTGATAATCTTGTGTACATAAAATGAATTTTGAATAGTAATCTCTTTTTCTGTTATAAATGTGTGTTCATACCAAATTTCATTAAAATCTGTCCATTAGTTTTTCAGAAATTCTACACAACTTACAGATTCTCGTATACCCTCTCTTTTTAATTGATGTTACTATGATCTATTTTTCATCATTCACCTTCATTACAATTAAAATTTTCATCACTGTTATCATCATCGTGTTTCCTCATAAAAATTATAAATTTCTTTTATGTATTATTCTCTTTCTGTATATTTTACAATAAATCAAATTCACTGGCTTGTTACCGATTCTATTTCTTGCCATTATAAACAGAACATATTTATTTATATTTGGGCAAGCACAACTTTAAAAAAGAATTTTTAAAATTACATAATGTCTGACAGTATATACTTTTTGAAGGAAGTTTGCTAATTATATATATTTTTACTAAAAGTATTGAACCCAAATTACTAATTATGCTAATATTCAGTGTTGAAGATGTAAACATACATGTACATGTCTGTGGAGCTATGATTATGGAGGGAATATAAGCACATGATGGGTTTTCAGTGATTTGTGTGCTTGTGCTTCTTCACGGCATTTGCCATGTTTCTCGCTAGAGTTGGGTAAATTTTATAAGGTAGCAAATGAAATGAGTAGCCACAAGCGTATGGGTGATGGAATGAGATGGAGAACTGGAAGCAAGCCGATTACAAGTACAGGTGGCCACACATCTCAGTGTAATGGCTAATGTCATCTTTGTAATTTGTGGAAAGTTTTAGGGAACGGGATCCATATCGAAAACAAAGTAAAACAAAATCCACACCAGTGACTGAGGATCATTATTTTTCGCTTTGTACACGGTGACACAGTACTGCTACAGCTCACTGGAGCTGCATGCTACCACTGGAACCCGAGTTTCATGATCTTCAGTTACTGGAAGGTTTCATGAGGTAGGGTTATATGCCAGAAGACCTACTGTTTGTGTCCTGCTCAATGTAGCACACAAGAAAGCATCTTTAACGTGGAGACAACATGCACCTTGGACCAGACTTCACTGGAGTGCCATGTTTTTTACAGATTAGTCCAGATTCAGCCTGGACACAGATTCTCAGCATACCTGTATCAGGAGAGAACCTGGAACATAATATTATCCTTCCCTTATTAGCGAAAAGGATCATTATGGGGGTGAAGGTGTAATGTGTAATGGGATTGGGCAGCCATTATGTTGAATCGCTGCACCTCTGACAGAAGCATTCTGACTGCTATGTGGTATAAAAAAGAGATTGTAGAGCCCTGTGCTGAAATTTTTAGGAACTTTTTTATAGATAAAATGCTTGGTCATATATATATAGGGCTCAGTTGGTCAACGATTACTTGGAAAGTGAGGATATTCGCTACATGGATTGGACAGCCAGATCTCATCTTTACCCTATACAGCTTGTTCGGGACACTGTTGGGAGAGCCATTTCATCTTGCCACATCCCAGCTTTACTGATAATCTTGTGTACATAAAATGAATTTTGAATAGTAATCTCTTTTTCTGTTATAAATGTGTGTTCATACCAAATTTCATTAAAATCTGTCCATTAGTTTTTCAGAAAATTCTACACAACTTACAGATTCTCGTACCCTCTCTCTTTTTAATTGATGTTACTATGATCTATTTTTAATCATTCACCTTCATTACAATTAAAATTTTCATCACTGTTATCATCATCGTGTTTCCTATAAAAATTATAAATTTCTTTTTATGTATTATTCTCTTTCCTGTATATTTTACAATAAATCAAATCACTGGCTTGTTACCGATTCTATTTCTTGCCATTAAACAGAACATATTTATTTATATTTGGGCAAGCACAACTTTAAAAAAGAATTTTTAAAATTACATAATGTCTGACCAGTATATACTTTTTGAAGGAAGCTAATTAATATATTTTTACTAAAAGTATTGAACCCAAATTACTAATTATGCTAATATTCAGTGTTGAAGATGTAAACATACATGTACATGTCTGTGGAGCTATGATTATGGAGGGAATATAAGCACATGATGGGTTTTCAGTGATTTGTGTGCTTGTGCTTCTTCACGGCATTTGCCATGTTTCTCGCTAGAGTTGGGTAAATTTTATAAGGTAGCAAGTGAAATGAGTAGCCACAAGCGTATGGGTGATGGAATGAGATGGAGAACTGGAAGCAAGCCGATTACAAGTACAGGTGGCCACACATCTCAGTGTAATGGCTAATGTCATCTTTGTAATTTGTGGAAAGTTTTAGGGAACGGGATCCATATCGAAAACAAAGTAAAACAAAATCCACACCAGTGACTGAGGATCGTTATTTTTCGCTTTGTACACGGTGACACAGTACTGCTACAGCTCACTGGAGCTGCATGCTACCACTGGAACCCGAGTTTCATGATCTTCAGTTACTGGAAGGTTTCATGAGGTAGGTTTATATGCCAGAAGACCTACTGTTTGTGTGTCCTGCTCAAGTAGCACACAAGAAAGCATCTTTAACGTGGAGACACAGGCACCTTGGACCAGACTTCATGGAGTGCCATGTTTTTACAGATTAGTCCAGATTCAGCCTGGACACAGATTCTCAGCATACCTGTATCAGGAGAGAACCTGGAACATAATATTATCCTTCCCTTATTAGCGAAAAGGATCATTATGGGGGTGAAGGTGTAATGTGTAATGGGATTGGGCAGCCATTATGTTGAATCGCTGCACCTCTGACAGAAGCATTCTGACTGCTATGTGGTATAAAAAAGAGATTGTAGAGCCCTGTGCTGAAATTTTTAGGGAACTTTTTATAGATAACAATGCTTGGTCATATATATATAGGGCTCAGTTGGTCAACGATTACTTGGAAAGTAAGGATATTCGCTACATGGATTGGACAGCCAGATCTCATCTTTACCCTATACAGCTTGTTCGGGACACTGTTGGGAGAGCCATTTCATCTTGCCACATCCCAGCTTTACTGATAATCATGTGTACATAAAATGAATTTTGAATAGTAATCTCTTTTTCTGTTATAAATGTGTGTTCATACCAAATTTCATTAAAATCTGTCCATTAGTTTTTCAGAAATTCTACACAACTTACAGATTCTCGTATACCCTCTCTTTTTAATTGATGTTACTATGATCTATTTTTCATCATTCACCTTCATTACAATTAAAATTTTCATCACTGTTATCATCATCGTGTTTCCTCATAAAAATTATAAATTTCTTTTATGTATTATTCTCTTTCTGTATATTTTACAATAAATCAAATTCACTGGCTTGTTACCGATTCTATTTCTTGCCATTATAAACAGAACATATTTATTTATATTTGGGCAAGCACAACTTTAAAAAAGAATTTTTAAAATTACATAATGTCTGACAGTATATACTTTTTAACATGGGAAATGGATAACTAAGTATTTCTTTAGGCATGGAGAGGTTAATTTTCTTAAGTGACAATGCATAAAAAATTTTTATTTCTTCCATTTTTAAAGTGGCAATCACATATGTTGTTTGTGATATTTAAAAGTTGTAGGTTATAAATTTGGCAATTTAGTTTGCCAATTTTGATGGCAGTTTGTAGAAGTCACATTATTAAGGGAATACTATTTTTTTTTTTTTTTTTTTTCCAAATAATTTCTAATTATCAGATGTTAAGCAGTACATACAAACGTAGTGTATTTCATGTGTTATCAAGCTCATGAGGTAAAAAAAGTGTTAATTTATTGTTTAATATAAAATGAATTTGTTTGTTATTATTTAATATGGTATTTAATTTGTTATTATTATTTAATATATTTATTTTAAATAAACTGTATATGTGACATACATTTAAAGAAAACTGAGTTATTTATGTTGTTTGAAAAATTAAAAAAAGAAAAGAAAAGAATGATTAAAAGATCTTTAAAAAAAAAAAAATTCATTGCTTCATCGTAATATATTTATGCTTCATTGTAAAATATATGAATTTACTAAGATTACAAAAGCATAAAAATTTTATTTCCTTTAGTGCTAAGTATTGAAAAATGTATTATTCCTGTAGTTCATTAACTTCTTTACTGATGCAGCTTGAATTTTTGTAATATTATATAGCATGACAATATTTGATTAGTTTTACCAGATTTTTATTGCTGAATATTTATTTATATCAGCCTTCAAAAAAATACACGTGGAATAATGCTTTTCATAGCAAAAAATTATGTATTTATGTCTTATTTTATTTTTTTCAGCATTTATAAGGTTAATTCACAAGTAAATTCTCCTGTATATACTGTAGTTGCTCCTTCAAAATTAAGGCCTGATATTGTGTATCATGTTAGCATTACACTTCATGATGCACCATCTGCAGTGGATTTTAATGTCAAAATATATGGAGTTTCTGAAGGTCAAATTCCTGTGAATACTTTGAAAAATGTCCATGTTGAACCAAGTAAGAACCTATGTGTTTAATATATTAAGATAGATCATAGTTCATGTACAATCAATTAAGAAAAGTATGTAGGTTATTATTATTTTAAATTGAAAAAAAATTATATGGTACTTTAAGATTATCCACACTGTCACGAAAAAGCTGCAAAAGATCAGGGAGCACATATCAACAAAAACCATGTATGTGGTAACCTAAGTATGCGCATAGCACACATGAATTAGCACTTTTGAAATTCGGGCAATCATTTTTCTGATTAGTATTTCTCTTTGGATTGAGTACTTTTGTTTTTGTTGTAATAAGCTGTAATAGAACTGGGAAGTCTGCCTTCTTATACTTTACGTATGTTGAAGTTTCAAACATTCTTGATCTTAATTGGGGCACAGTACTGAGTTTTTGCAATTCTTTGATTTTTTTAGAAAAAACAGATGATTGGGTGCATTGGTAGAAGAACACTGAAAAAAATAAATAAATAAATAAATAAAGAACAATTTCTCTAAAAAAGGTGTTCTTTTTTTTTTTTTTTAAATGAATGTAAAAGAATAAGAAGCACTGCATGCAGCCTTAAAACAGACATAAAGATACTTAAAGAAACATTTATTTCCAAACTCAATTGCAAATTTATGACTTTTTGGTGGGGTGCCCATAATGAGAAGGTACCAGTTGTATTTATATATGTTTTAATTTACTGTAAGTTATGGATTTTATGCTTTGTTTTTAAAAAATTAAATTGATCATTCTTTCCCTTTCAGAACAAACTGAAATGGTGGACTTTCAAGTAGGTTTGATTTTGAATTATCTTTTTTATTTAATGGGTGTTATTTTATTAACTTCAGAAAATTAATTTCTTTGTTTAAATAATTAGGTACTTTTGCATTATCCACCCAGCGGTGAAAAATTGCAAGGCAAATTGTATGTTGGCAAAATAGGCAACCCAGGATATAACAAACCTGTCCAATGTGCCTGAGTGATACAGAATTTTTCTTAACAAAAAGTATTAGAGGGCAGTTATCTGTATATATTGTAAAAGATTGTATATGTTGTCAGTATTATGTTAAAAATGCCTTGCAGTGCAGTAGATAGTAAGAAATTCTATGTTGTATACAATGTGCTTAGTGTCAGTTTTAGGGAGAAAAAAGCCAGTAGTTGGAGGCCATTATCATTATCTTGTTGCAAGTGTAAAGTGGCTCAAATAGCCATATCTCTGAGGCACCAACCATCAATGACAATTGCTAAACCTGAGGCAAGCTAACCAAGTATAACTGAATTTGTTAGATAAGTTTTACATTTTTTTAAGGTGCACAAGGAATGGGATGTTAATCATTCTTCTTATAATCTTTTAAAAGAGAATGAAGCAGAGCTTGGGTAGTAGCTGCCCTAGGTAAAAATCATCAATAAAAATTCATCATTGCCCAAAACCTCTTTAATCCAGATATTATTGCACCTTTAAGGGAGTTAGAAATTACTGCAATTTTTTCAGGAAGAGGCCTAACACCTGAAGGGGTAATTAAACAGCCAAGAAATGATACTGATGATAATTCCAGAATACACTTAAAAGGATTTAGTTTTAGCCCATATTTTGCAGTCTATCAAAAATCAAATAGAGATGGCTTTCATGTTTGTCTTCATTTTCGTAAACCACAAGCAAATCATTAAAGTAAGGAAAACAAAAGTCTAAGGTAGAAAGTACTTGATGAATAAATCTTTGGAATGTTTGGTCTGCGTTTTCCAAACCAAAGGGGGTTTTAAGGAACTCAAATAATCGAAACGGGTAGTCACAGCCGTTTGAGGCGTGTGTGTGAACAGGGATTTGATGGTATGCCCTAGCCAAATCAAGTGTTGAAAAAGTGTTCCCCTCTCAAAAAAATTTACAGTACTGAATATGTGGTACAGGATACTGGTCAGGAGCAGTCGTAGCATTCAAGTGGGGATAGTCACCACAAAGACTCCAGTCACCAGTAGCTTTATGGACCAAGTGAAGAAGGCTGGACCAAGTACTTTTGGATGACCAGATGATTCCCTCTGACATAAGGTACTTGAACTCCTGTCATACTACCTAGAATAATTCTGCCAACAAATGATGAGATTTAGAAAACATAGGGGGCCTTAGTCTCAATATAATGGAAAATTGTTGAATTATTGTTGGTGACATAAGAAGCTTATAGTAAGCTCAGGATACTCAGCTAGTAATTTATCAAATTAAGAGTTATTATTCATGAAGTATAGATATGAATAAATCAAACAAACTCTGAAACAGTTTGCCACATGATGACAAACTAGTCCTGAAATCGATATGGTAATTATTAGCAACGTCAACAAGCAATCCATATTTCTTATGGAAATCAGCACCCAAAATTGTCTGATTCACATTTGCAACGACAAATAGCCAAGTAAAGGTACAACATAAATTTTAATCCAAAGTATGAGTTTAGTGCCAAATGCTTGAATGTTAGTTCCATTCACGGCAAACAAGACTAAATTCTGAGAAGACCTAGAACATTGAGCATACCTTGTAATACCAACACATCTGCCCCATTCTCAATTAAGTATTTAAGTTTTGACAAGGGCGTAGCTGAAAGCATAACAGTTCACCCGGAAACTGCTCTCTTGGCCAACAAGTGATTTCACATTTTCCACTTTACAAAAGCAGCTCAGAGACTGACATTTCTTTGCACGCTCACTAAAATTTACATGAAAGAAACAAAGGTTGTCTATTTGCTCTTTATAGCAATTAGGGCATTTGCTTGACATATTGTGTCAGTATGAATGCCAAAAATTGTGCTTAGGACTGCAAGAATTACTTCCCAAGGCAGAGGTTAGCTCACTTTCTTCTTTAAGACCAATTAAAATAGATTTTGTATTATTGGGGACCCTTGCAAGCAACAAAGATCTTAACAAGGGTTTATCTATGGCATCACCTGCTAAAGCGTGCATGTGAGTTGAAAACTGAGAAGAATGCTGGTTGCCAAGCTCAAGACCTTCCAACAGAGTACGAATTTTTGACACTTCGTTTTCAGAATGTATTGCAATCAGTGTTTGCTTTAAGATATCATATTTTCCAATAGTATGAGGTTTTAATATGATATCGCTAACAGAATTAAGTGTATCAGAATCACAGCAGCAACAACATGGTTAAATTTTCTTAAATCTGAAGTTATATTGGTAAGTGAAAACTGCAATTTGTAATCTAACAAATGATAATAGAGGGCTTGTTTTCCTAAAAGGTGGCAATATTACTGAAACATGCAACGCCTGCTTAGCTGCTGTGTTTTCAGTTGGAAAATCATCAGTAAAATTTTCATTATGCAGCATGACTACTAAATTTTAAAAAGATATGGGATTCTAATTGCGAATGCAAGAAAAATATCAATGCTAAAGCATGATATAAAAGCATAGAAGACCTATCATGCATCTATAACCATTAAGGACCCACATGAGAATAAAAAATACATGAATACTAACAGAATGTAAAATATTCACCTCGTAAAAATATACTGTACACATTATTAATAGAGAAAAACAGATTACAGTGAATGCCAAGAATGCACGATAAAAAATATTTTCTTTTTCTTTTAAGAATTATCTTCGTGGCAGTGTTTTATCACCATTAGAGTCCATCAAAAAGGCCTAAGAATCACAAAAACTTCAACTAAAAATTAAAACCAACTTTATTTAACATTTTAAAAAAGGAAATTACATCTCGCAAGAGGTTAAATATTTAAACAAGCTGATGCCAGACATTGGCAGTGAACTGGCATAAAAAGTGAGAAGTAAGTAATAAGTCTTTGTGAAAAAGTTAAAGTTTTCATCCTCTTGGCATAGCACATTTGCATATTGTGCAGCAAAGATGAATGCTGTCACTCACTGTAATGAGGATTTCGTTATACGGTTTATAAAATGTTTAGTGTTTTGTTATGGATGTTTGTTCTGTGTAATTTTTGCTGTTTAATTATATATGTTTCTAGTGTTTTTAATTTTGTTAATTCATTGTTCTCTTATGTAGTTTTTGGCTTACTGCTATTTTTTAAAATGGCTGTTGTTTTTCATATGTTAGATTGGTAAAAACGTAGTTGTAGACCAGAAGCATTGGATGGGTTATGTGAAAATACCAATAATTATTTTTTTAAAAAAAGTTGTAGTTCACAATCTTTTTAAGATTGTTATCTGTTTTATTAAATATTTTATTTATTTTGAAATCAGTGTTGTTATAATTATTTGTTTAAATATTACCTGTTTTATCTTATTATTTATTGTGCTTACAGTTAACTGAATTTCACCAAACCAAAAAATAATAAATTATAAGAAGAGTATTTTACATCTATCTGCATTTAGAATTCATGAACTTATTGTGTTTAAATCTTTAAGACTTGTACGAATATATTTTTTTCTGTTTAAATTATGGAAACTGTCATTATTTTTCATGATATATTGACAAGTTTTGAGTTTGGTCCCAAATATTTTGAATGGTATGGAGTGCAGTGTGATCAGAGTTTTCAGTAATTTGATATGAAGCCGTATCATCAGTTAACCCCTGACGCGTTACGTACAAGATTCATCCCAGTGCCACGATTTTTCACACAGGCATGCGTAATTATTAGGGGGAAAATAAGTGCAAGTTTTACTTTCTAAAAACTGTTTACTTTCACAAAATAAAGAATAAAAAAAAATGAATGCACAAAATTTAATGTTTTAAGTAAAAGTATAATAAAAATGATGTTTTTGTAATAAAAAAGATCCCTAAAATGGAGTTTCGATCAATTATATTTTTAGACCAGTAAAGGTTTCAGTGTTATACCTTGTGAAATCAGTATGCCTAAAAAAACATATATTTCTTTTGAACTGGTTGAACGCCACTATTTTGTTCTTGATTTTTCGTTTGCAAGGTGTTGGTTCGTATACTTATCTACAAAAAGGTTAGTTTCAGTAATAATATGAAGCACGAGCAGTTCATCAAAAAATAATTCAGAAAAGATAAATGGGTTCGAAACATCCTTTATATTGTAATGTATTTTGCAGCAATTGACAAAACAGATAATCTTTGTAGTAGAACATAAATTTTATTTTTATTTTATGGAGATAGATAATTTGAAGAAAATTATTTTGTGGCAAAAATTTCATACAGCTACTAGCTGGAAAAAACTTCAGAATACTAATCTTAAAACAATTTCTTACGCTGCTGAGCAACGGTTACATAATACAAATATGTCATTACCACTTCAACAATAAATATAGTTATTTGATAAATAACAAAATATTTCAACCTCTCCCCCCCTCTAGATAAACTTTAATTTATATTTTTATATTTCTTTTCAAAACAACAGAATATCAACACAATACATAATTGAAATACTACATATAATATAATAATATACAGTAAAGAAGAAAGAACAAATTTTTTTTATCTATATGGGGAAATAAATTATTTAATCAGGCCAGGGAGTACGACTTAATGCGTCTACATTTTTACGGTTTTTACCACTTCGATGAACGACCGTGTAATTGTAGAGTTGTAGTTCTAGTGCCCATCTCATAAGTCATGGATTTAGACTCGCATTGTTTTTGAGCCAAACTAGGGGATTATGATCGGTCATGATGAGGAATTTAGTATGCCCGTCTAAATAACATTGAAGTTTCTTTACAGCAAATATTATGACGGAGCATTCCTTTTCTGTGGTACTTTTTTTCAGTTTCTGTAAACTTCTTACCGAGATATAATACTGGATGTTCATTGTCTCCTTCATCCCTTTGAGCTAAAATGACACTCGTACCAGAGTTTGA